GAGCAAAATCTTTTGCAGTCACCTAATTTTTTCCATTTCCATTCGAAGACCTTAGGTAAGCACCTGACTTAACATAGCTGACATCGATCTACCGGATCAATCGCCGCTGATCTAGCCACTTTCCGGATCGGTCGCTTTCCGGAGCAGAAAATTTATATGAGTTGATTGAAACTTGATGCGTAACAGAAAGAATTATCCATTGCCCAAAATGAGTCTTGAACCTTGGGTGTTGATGCTCCCTCTCTCTCCCTCTCATCCCCCTCCCGTAGATATACACGACGGTGGTGGATATACAGTGTTGACAGCCGTTATACAGTGTTCCTAACACGGTTTTCTGCACTAGACTGAAAGAAAAATGAATTCTAGATGGCGCCTGATTGCTCTGATGATGTTAGTGATTTTAAGTGATAATAATGATAATGATAGTGATAATAGTGCTGTGATTTTTTTATTAATAGAAATTTGAAATAATATGCAAAAATTTTCGAGTCAAGCCAGCAAATCATGAAATAACTTCAGAATGACTATCGTGATTCACTGGGACGTCTTGAGCGGAAAACAAGTGAGCATGTGACTGTGAATAAACACGAAACTCTCTACAGATCAATCGAGGAACGTCTTGCGGATGCAGAAGATGGTAATTAACACTCGGATTCCATTAACATTCTTAAATTCGTATCCCAATTAGACGATACCGATACCACCAAACTATTTCACTTATAAGAGATCAGTGGCCTGCTCGCCAGCTAGCCAGCCGGGTGGCTTGAATTGAGGCTAAAACAATGCGCACGCACGGAAACATTANCCAGGTGATAAGAGATCAGAGAACTTAAGCTCCAACTTGATACAGTTCTTCTATGATACGGATCTCTTAAAGACTGATAAGATCCCAAGTAATCCACAAGATTGAACAGAACTTGATGGATCGGGATCATTATCTTGCATAGGCGCGTACTATATCGTTAAATATACGGCTGGGTGACGTTAGTCAAAGCACCACCGTTCCGATGACATTGATCATTAATTATTGATCACAAATTTAGTGTTCCTGAAACGCTCTAAACTCTTAAAATATTGTGCAGTATCGTGAAAATCACTCAGTTCTAGATCATATCATTTGAATCGTCGTCGGATATTCCGCCAGAATTTCTTTTTCTGCACTGAATCTTTCCATTAGAATTTTAATTTTTTGACAATTTACTTCTATCCACAATACATTTTGCTGTTATGTAATACGTGGACATCGTATATTTTTTACTGAGTTTCCTCTTCACGAGCGATGTTTGGTCTGAGAAGCTCAACGAAGAAATTCGTAATTTCATTGTGAATTATTTCATTTCCTGAATTCATTACGCATAAATCAACTGAATTTCTTGATAATGTGCTTGTT